AATTGTAAAAATACAAAAACGCCCATAAAAACCGCAAAACGCAAAATGCAAAACTGAAAATGTGTTCGTATTTCCTCATGGACCATTGAACCTCCATATCAAATTTGGTGAAGATTCATCCACAGGAGGCTGCTGTACCGTACAGCAGAGTGTTTTTGAGTCTGACTTGGATTTTTTAAAACATCTAGAGTTTTGACAAAGCTAGTAAGTATCGTTTACATTTAGTATTTTTAAACAGACAGGTATAATAATGTGTGAATATATCATCGACTTATTGGCTGGAAAATAACGGATCATAGACCATAATTGTAGCGTTAATTAAATAACAGATTATAGACCATAATTGTAGCGTTAATTAAATAACGGATCATAGACCATAATTGTAGCGTTAATTAAATAACAGATTATAGACCATAATTATAGCGTTAATTAAATAACAGATTATAGACCATAATGTAGCGTTAATTAAATAACAGATTATAGACCATAATTGTGGCGTTGATTAAATAAGGATTATAAACTATAATTGTAGCATTAATTAAATAATAGATTATAAACTATAATCGTAGCATTAATTAAATAATGGATTATAAACTATAATTGTAGCATTAATTAGATAATAGATTATAAACTATAATTGTAGCATTAATTAAATAACGGATTATAAACTATAATTGTAGCATTAATTAAATAATAGATTATAAACTATAATTGTAGCATTAATTAAATAACGGATTATAAACTATAATTGTAGCATTAATTAAATAACGGATTATAAACTATAATTGTAGCATTGATGAAATAACGGATTATAAACTATAATTGTAGCATTAATTAAATAACGGATTATAAACTATAATTGTAGCATTAATTAGATAATAGATTATAAACCATAATTGTAGCATTAATTAAATAATGGATTATAAACTATAATTGTAGCATTAATTAAATGCCCCCCAGTGGCACAGCGGTATGTCTGCGGACTTACAACGCTAGAAACCGGGTTTCGATACCCGTGGTGGGCAGAGCACAGATAGCCCTTGTGTAGCTTTGTGCATAATTAAAAAACAAAAAAACAAAAACATTAATTAAATAATGGATTATAAACTATAATTGTAGCATTAATTAAATAATGGATTATTATGAATTATAGCGTTAATTTAACTATATATAAGCAGAAAACTTCTTTAGATTCTGAATGGCTGAGAGGATTATCTTTTAAAAGTTGTTTCTATATTTCCGTCTTTTCTTACTTACAGTAGAATGTGATAAATTGTACTTGGAAAACAAATCTGATAAAGAAGTGGGATCTTATCTGGTCAAAAATATTCGATTCTTTGTGGACATATGCTATGTGTGGGAGGAGTTCCAACTCGCTCATCAACTTATTGACAAAATTTCCGTGTTTACGTTATCTTTAGGGTGTATTTTGTTTACCAAAATGTATGTGTAGTTCGATTGTATAGTGTTATCCAGGTTTATCGCCTATTGATACTCAGAACACTTCAACCTGAATATTAGACAAACTGCCCTTGATAAACCTTGTCACGGGAAAAAGAAAACCTTGTGTGGTTTAACACAATAACTTCGTTTAACGTTTGTTTAAAATATTAGAACTTTTGAATAACACATTTTGTGGTGTTTGGTTTTAGAATATAAAAAACCGTTAAACTTCTAGAATTAGAAATATAAGGTCGATATGTCTTAATGGCAGAGCAAAAGACAAAAGTCCAAAGTTCGTTCTATGTTATCTCCGCATAATATAATCAGCTCCAAAATGCGTGACAAATTTTGTATAGTTTTGTATGTAGTTTAAGTATGTACAGTTACAAATATCAGATTTTTAACGACATATTAAATTTATGAAAAGCTTGAAATAGTTTTGTTTAAAATATTATATATACTACATAATTCTAAAATTAGTCAATCTGAGCTTAGTTAATTTCAACATTCCTAGAAATATGAAAACTTTCTAAGTTGAGGTTAAAATATTATATAATATCATATTTTATATTATGTAATTCCAAAATCAACCAATTTGAGTTTCATTAATTTCAACGTTCCTAGAAACATTAACACTTTCTAAGTTGAGGTTAAAATATTATATAATATCATATTTTATATTATGTAATTCCAAAATCAACCAATTTGAGTTTCATTAATTTCAGTCGTGGGAGG